CTAGTCTATACAGTCATTCATTTTCTAACAGGGTTTCGTGCATGTTACATATGGACATTTATTGGACTCTGAAACATTCTTAATCTGTAGCATAGTATATATATCTTCTACCCTTTTAAGTACTCCCTAGTATGCATAAGTAACTATATTGTCACTTCGCTAATTTGGTGTGATATATTTGAGAATGGTTCTCAGATCATGCTGCAGAAATAGTGGTTGGTTCATTGGTTGTTTTTGTCTATGGAATTGACTTTTGTTGCGAAATCAAACAGAAAACACAAGAAATAGATCAAACACACACACAATATGAATACACAGATTTTCTTGGTTCACCCAAAATTCAGAGCTATAGCAGCCATAACAAGTGTAGAAATTATCAAAATACCCTCCAAAAAATTTGGAATCCACGGAGTTAGGGCTTGATGTACAGAATCTATCAGGCTCCACACTACCCATCATACAAATGATCAAATGAGTTGGGGTCAGTGATTTCTTGAAGAGTCATGATAAGGAGTCTGATAGTTGGACAAAATTTGACTGATTGCACTCAGATCAAATCAATCGGAGTTGATCACTGTCGGACTATAAATGATTTTCCAAGAGAAAGTTATTTAAACAGACTGCAAAAGAGATACCAACAGACCAGTAGTCTAGCGGTATTGTAATACCCCGTAATTTTGGAACACGGATTGATCAAGTCCGCGTATAAAATCAAGGGATATCAAAACAATTTAAGTATTTAACAAGCACAGAATACAAAGATGAATAATAAAGAATAAATAAACCGCTGAAGAAAATTAATAAATAAATATTACTTAATGATTCTCCAACAATTACAATTCGGAAATCCCATAACTCAAGGACCCCTTAAAACATTATCCAATAATCCAATACTATTTAAAAGTACACAAGATGAATAGACGAATGACAGTCTCCCAGCTGCGGATCCTCAACCTCGAGACTGGAACCTCTAATAACCTGAAAAATAAATCGTGGGTTAAACCCTACGAGCAAGTTCACTCTACCAGGCCTCTGAAAACCAATAAGCAGATCATCTCTGATCAAAACCAAACCTAATAAAGTTTTAACTTTAATAAAACACGATATACATGTCTATATATAATTATATATACTATACTAATCACATCCATTAATAGGTTTATTAAATTTCCATACCTATTAAATAATTATTAAAATAATATTCATACCTAGACCAATCTACCATTTCATTTTATAAAAACTCCTTTGACCTTAATCTCATCCTAGTCAGTTGTTTAATCATTTAAACAACAAATTATAATAAAAGAAATACTTTATTTAATCCCAACCTGATAATGATTTTAATTGTTTAAATCACATATCCAAAATCCAAGTTTTGACAAATCATCCACGTTTTCCCCAATATTATTTTATTAATGTAAAATAATACACTAACCAGTAAGTACTAAACTATTCTCATTTAAGAATATCTAACCCAAATCCAATCCATACATACAACAACCATAGATGATATTTTAATCATCTAACACATAACAACGTAATTATGCTTTGGCAAATCAACCATGCCATTGTAAATATTTTTATTTATATATTGGCAATTCAACCATGCCTCCATAAGTATATTTATTTATACATTGACAATTCAACCATGCCTCCGTGTATGTATATTTATACATTGGCAATTCAACCATGCCTCCACAGGTATATTTATTCATACATTTAATTAGCAATTCATCCATACTTTCCATATATGTATTCTATTCATACAAATATTTAGGTAATATATTTAATCATTTGACAATTCATCCATGCCCACACTTTAACCATGAATTAACTTTAAAATTAACAATGCGCTAAATCATACATAGCCATCACATGCATATTATACGCATATCATTAATTTAACAACCAGCCTATTAAGATATGCCAAATAAAAATGATAATATTAATCATCTTAAATGATTTATATATATATATACCTACACATATGTTATTTAATGTATATATGTGTTTAACACCTTCTTTAATAATCATTGATTATTTAAAATCAATATACATACATACATACATACATATATATATATATATATATATATATATATTCATCCTTCCATACAACTCATAGACAAATTAAATTATATATACACATATATATAATAATTATATATATATATATATATATATATACACTTCCTTCCATAACAAATTATTAATTTATTATATTTACACAAATTAGTGCAACTAAATATGTGAGAAATAGTTTCCTTTAAATACTCCATATTGGTTTAAATAGTTTTCCGACACTTTCTCACTAAAACATAAATATCTCCTAGTAGGATGGGAATCTGATAATGAAATTGGTACCATTGGAAAGAAGACGAAAAATCCTTAAATTTGAGCTCAAGAATGACCCAATTTCGATTTAAAATGACTAAGTTATGACCGTTTTAATTTCTAGTGTCGAATTAGGCCAACATAGTTTCCCACGCGCGCCCACGTGCTTACTATGCACTTGCACGCGCTGGATTCAAGCCTCCTTGTGTGCTGGTATTGGCTAAGCTCTTTCAGCTACCGTGAGCTCACCACACTGAATCCATCACTTCCTTTATGCCGCATCCAATGGTCATAAATGAGTGCGCAAATGAACACGCTCACACTAGATTATTTTCTATTAACTATAATAGATCTAAGGTCCAGATCAGCGAGTGCACCATCTTCTCATGGTCTGCAATACACCAAATAATCCCATAGTTGACCAGACCACTTCTATGGTCCAGATACACCTGCGCACCAAACTTTTATGCGCCGCGATGCACCATATCAATTCACATAAGTTTAATTAATCAAATGGTCCTAATTGGCGTATACACCCTATTATCACTGGATCAATTCTTTATTGTGCCGCCGCTCCACATGAGCCAGTTACCTAGTATATATATATATATATAATTATTTTCCTAACAAATAATAGGAAAATAAATCCTAATAAATTCCTAAAAATATCAGAAAAATTTCAGAAAATTACAGAACATTTCTAGAAAATAAAGAAACCATAATTAACTCTCTTGGGTCATACATAATCACGAAATATAACTTAATAAAATAAAATAAATCATTGAAAAATAAAATAAAATAATTAATCCTAATTAATAAATCTTTTAAAATTATCGGGGTATTACAGGTATCAAGCTTCTACTTCTCAAGGAGAGGTTAGGGATTTGAACCTCAGTGAAGACATGTGTGTGTGAATACTAACTAAAATAAATAAATAAAAAATAGATAGACAGAAATGTTCATCAACGGATAGTTGTCAATAATGCAAAGCGTGAGAGAAAATATTGACAGTCATGTTCACGCGGACTAAGAAATTATGCAAGTAAATTTTATATATCTTGAGCAAAGTATTAGCATTTGTATATTTCAAGAATGATTGACATTTAATGCGATAATCAAGTGTTAGCATTTGTATCTGTGTCTATGCCATTGGTTTACACATGAAAGCATGCCTTCTTTGCACTATTGAAGACATCTAGTTCTAGTGCCTTAGTAGCCTCCACTATAGTTTTGTTCTTTCAATTTTGAAAAACATTATAATCTAGAAAGCACCTCCAACAACAGTTTCTTCTTAGTATAACGATATGTTACGTCAATATAGTTGAGACACAATAATAATACATTTTAAACACTTGAATACAACAAGATAATTTTGTAATTATATTTTACAAAAAAATGGGATTCAATGTTAAAAAAACAAAAAATAATAATAATAACTAGTGATTTCATTCATAATTGTATTAATAAAAAAATTATTATTATTTTTATGCATCCGTGTCCCATTTCCGAGCCTATTTCATATCATAGTCATGTCTCCATCCCTGCTTTAAGCTCTCACACAACCATCGACTTGATGTATGTAATCCAATGGGCTATATCACTGGATATTTAATGTAGTAGTAGCTCACGGGCCTTAAGGCTCAGTTTGGTAGAGTAGAAATGGGAGGAAAGGGAAGGGAAGGTGATGGAGGGTGACTAAAAAACTGTGTTTGGGTAAAATGGGTGGAAGAGAAGGGAAGGAAAGGGAAGGGTTTGGAGGGTTATGCATAGCCTTCCACAGTGATTTGTTTAACCTCCCAAAAATGGGAGGAAATGGAAGGAAAGGGAAGGTAATGGTTGATGATGCCAATTTTACCCTCAAATCAATATACATACAAGATAGCAGTTGCAGAAAGAATGGAGAGACGGCGGGCAACGGCGAACCCGAACTGGAACAGCGGCGATGGCGAACCCGAACTGGAACAGCGACGATGGAAACTTGAAAGATATGGGTTTTGATTTTCTGAACAATCTGATATACTGATACGGGTTTTGAATTTTTGATTCTTGCAGACAGAAAGATAAACTGAAATATATGGGTTTGGGTTTTGAACTTCTGAATCTTGTAGAGAGAGAGAGAGAGAGAGTTGAGAACGATAATAGAGATGGAGGCCGAGATTGGGAAGGCTGAAATGATTTGCCCTGGATCGGAACCTTCAAGAACGAAGGTGCTACAGCCGGATCTGGATCGCTCTTGTTCAAGAAAGAAATTTTTCTTTCCTTTTCTTGTTTCTTTCCTTTTATTATATATATATATATATATTATACCTGCAAAAAAAAAAAATTTCTTTCCATTCTCGCCTCCATCCCCATTATATATATATATATATATATATATATATATATATAATAAAGGTATAATAGTAAATTTATTATTATCATTCCCTTTTCTTTCTTCTCCCAAACATAATTATTATCCTTTCTTTTCCTTCATTGACTAACCAAACACAATGGAGGGTTAAAATAATCCTTCCCTTCCCTTTCCTTCGTAACTAATGTTATCCTCCCCCTTCAAATCCACCGTACCAAACATACCCTAAAAGTCCTTTAGAAAAATGTCTAAAACGGCGTCGTACAGTTTGTAATGGCAAGCTAGGAATAGACGGGTCTCTCTGGTTTGAATTGAAAAGAGATTTTCTAGAGAGGGAGGTGGAGAAAAAGAAGAGAGACTGAAGAAGATGGCGGCTTCGTTTAGGTGGATGCTACAATTACACAAGGACGTCCCAAAAGCGGCTCGGTTATACTCAGAGGGCTTGGACTTCACCATCAATGTCTGCTCTCTTCGTTGGGCTGAACTCCAATCTGGTCCCCTTAAACTCGCCCTCTTACAGTCCAACAGGTCTGTCTTTCTCTATCTAGATCCTCTTTCTTATATGTGTTCGAATCATTTTTTTTCTGTTATTTGATACCCTTTTCTCCATCTTTGGTTTTGGTTTCATTTTCCATAAATAAAAGCAAAATAATGGATTTAATGGTATAAATTGTGTATTATTATGTGTGCTCTACACAAGTGAGTTATACCTAATTTATTACAGTTTCAACATGATGCATAAAAGCTTATCTGATTTCCAATTTTCCCACAAACAATGATCAATAGAATTGGGTGTTTATTCGTATTCATTATCATCATACAATTATTTCTTGAAATTTTTTAATTCTTATAATTCTCAATAATACTATTTGTTAGTGGATTTAAAGATGTCAACTTTGAAGCTAATTATATTTAGACATTGTTAGTGGGCCTTGGCGCAACCGTGCTCCATTATGACCCAGAGGTCACACTTTCGAAACTAGAAATAGCCTCTACATGCAAATGTAAGTAAGATTGCGTATGTGTAACCCTCCCCAGGCCCCGAAATGGCAGGGCCCTCGTGCACTGAGCTAGCCCTTTTTTTAGTTTATTCATTGTTAAAGGGCAGCATCGTATTTGAGTTATTACCATGGTCATTGAACGAATGGAAACCCAACATTTATTTTTTCTTTGTATAATTAGTGATTTCCGAATCCATAACAGATTCACAACAGATCCAAAAAAAAAGGAGCCATTACTCAGTATTAGTCATTGTTAATTGAGGTGCTAGGAGAGCTAGATTGTCATGACTTGCTCCACTGTGTAGATACTATCCGCCTTGCACACTCTCTGTGCTAAGGATGATTCAAACTTTGTCTCTGTATCCACGTTCTCATTCTTAGTGGCCTGAGCCTTTACCATTGCACCAAATAATTCCCTCTAGGGGGGTTCTCACATGGACAAAATTAAAATATTAAAATTAAATTTCCTTCCCTTTCTCCCCCTTAATTTCACACCTTGTTTTAAAGTTTCTGCTTCTAGAAATAGTTACTTTTTGTTTCAACTTATTTTAAATTGTATTTAAAATATTGAAGGAAGCTCCTTCTTTAGTTGAGAATGCAGGACCATTACTAAGATTAGTGAAGTAATCATTAGTATGACCAAGAAATATAGATATGACGTTGAAAGGATGGAAACTGGAAGTGGGGCTATGAATATTTTATACCTTTTCTTTTATAAAATATGAATATTTTATGCTTGATAGAATACTTGTTTAAGTTTACCTCTCTCCGAGGTGTCTATTCTTTTTTTACTATAATACCTTGTTTTGACTGCATCGAACTATGTATCTTTTGATAACCCCCAAAATCCTCTTCCTTTGGTTCAAATCTAATTTCAAGTGGAGGAATACACTTATTTCAGGAGTATATAAATGCACTTGCTCATGATCATGGTTTAAATAGATTGATTTTGTTGGAAAATGAAGGTTATGACAATAAATCGAGCTTTCTAATTGTAAAATGTTTAATCACTTGAATGTATCAACATAATCATCTGCTTATTTCTGCTGATGATTCTAACCAAAATTATTTTTTTTTGGCACAAGAAGAATTTTTATATTCAAATGATATCAAAGGAGGGATTTGCACTCATTGTGCAAGTTCCACTTTCTCTACAATTAATATGTTCCCTCGAAGGGAAAGAGATTCAATCTCATAATTTACGATCAATTGTACCCCCGACTCAAAATTTCCTCGCCAAACTACATGAAACAGATTTTTGGAATGTCCCTAGAAAATTATTGCTAGTTGCCCGAAGTGAGAAGCAAAAATATTTTGATAAAGACGTGAAATGTGTTTTTGCTTTCAGTTTATGTTCTGCTCTAGATGATCCCCATGAGTAAGCTTATTGGGATGATTTATTTTGATGAACCAACTAGACTGTTACAAACAACAAACAATAATAAGGAAAATAAAAATTATACATTGTTTTTATTAGTGGTTTATTTACATGATTAGTAGCAGTTTAATCATGTCTTCAACATTATCAATACTTAATGGCACCTTTATTATCTGGGAAGTTTTAGAAGTAAGTTCTTTTCAATCTATATCTATGTTGAAATATCATCTAGTTCTAAGCCCGGAGATGATGCATCAGTTGGCAATAGGTATAAATGAGCACATGGCATTTCTATAGATAACCATAGCTAAATGTTCCTAGTCGGATGGATGTTTTTGCCATTACTATGATTGGATGATATTATTGACAGATTGATTTGAAGGTTTCTCCAGCATTATTCTGAAAAAAAATTCACTCTCCCAAAGTTTCAATATAAGTTTAGATGGTTCTCACAGTTTCTAACAATCCAAGTTCCTTTCTTATAAAGCCTTGCCGGAGAGTGAGACCACACCTCACATCAGTGTACTGTCCTCGTGCTTGAGTTGTTTGACATGGCTGAAAGCATCCCACAATCTTGGACCACTATGGTTTCTTTGTTACGCCTGGCAGATATTCTGGCATGTGACTCGAAAATATATCTTTAAATATTGAAACAGCTTTGCATAAAGCCCTCTTAATGATGGAAGCCATGTGTGACTTGAGCTTTATTACTTAGTTCTCCATTTGGGTAGAAGTAGCGTTATTTTTTATACACCTTTACTCGGTATTTCCCCATAGTGTTTTTTTTATATACAATTTTACTCAATATTTTCCCTTTGCCTTTCTCCTGATATGAGGCTAACCAATCAACTAATTTTGACAGATACTTATTTACATTCTGCCCCTGAAAATGCCATTATGTTTCCTGTTCCTATTCTGTTACGTGGGTTGTTTAGTATGTTGCCTTTGGTCATATGTTGGAATGTTAGACATTTGTTTTCCTTATCTGTGACTGGATTGGAATATAATTGATCTGAAGTAGCTGCTAATCCTAACTTTACAGTGAACATGCCACGCAGAAGGAACACTCGTCGCTCTTGTCCTTTACGGTGACTGACATTCACACTACAGTGTCAAGACTAATGGCTTTAGGTGCAGAGCTGGATGGTCCCATCAAATATGAGATCCATGGTAAGGTAAAGACCCAACTTCCGAGTTGCATAGTTTGTGGAAACATCAATTTTCTCTTATTGAGCAATTATATATAGCAGTTGCCACTCACTAGGATACTAAACATTCCCAAAATACATAATGTTCAAGAGATGATTGTTAACGGCTTGTCTTTCGTTATAGTTAATAGTGTAATTCTAGAGGATATTCCACTGATTCTATCAAGTTATACTACATATCCCATCTTTAACTGGAAATTCTGAAGAAGCCTCATTATATATTGGCTCTGGCAGGTTGCAGCCATGCGCGGTGTTGATGGGCACTTGTTGGGTCTTTACGAACCCTTCTGAAAATGCCAAAAGTGAGCATGTTCCTTTGTGAGCTACCGCAAGAAGCAACCGCCTTCAGCAGAACTGTTCGAGAAGTTGGATGGTGGTAGTTCATTGTTCATACAAGTCAACAGAAATCTATAGCCCCTCGGGTGTTCTAGTATCGATATTTTTCTGGCAATTAGAGAAAAGCAGTGTTCAAGTATATTAGCAGCTGTGTAATTTCTCAATGGTGAGTGCGTCATGGATGATCATATGGTGAAGTACATATGTAAATGGGACTTAAATTCTCTCCCATCAACCTCGTTTTTTTTTTTTCTATTTTTTTCTTTCTTTCACCGATGGCTTACCCTTTCATCACATTTACTTTGAAATTTCACTCCTTATAATATGATTGAACAAATTTCACTACTACAAGAATTTCACCGTTATAAGTGGTGAAATTTGAAGTTTCAAACGTCGTCGTCTTGATTATTGAGTGATGTAGGACGGTGCGTGGTTGAATCTGTACTAGGATATCGGTAATAGGGAGGATTTAGATCCCAATACATGTTATGCAGTACATGTTCTTCCACAAAGAATCACTTTTGAATTAAGAATTCGCTTTAGAATTTTTTTTCCTGCACCAGAATTGATCCTTATTGCTTGGCACTTATTTGTACCTTTTATTGACATCAGCTTCCATTATTAGCATATTAAGAAGTATTATGTTTCAGGTCACTTTTGACTTTATGCTTACAAAAAAGATGTATAAAAATAGATGTATAATGCTTTATATTATATATACCATTTATGAGAATGACCTAGTTGAACCTTGCTGGTTGAGCTTTAGCTCATGTCATATAATTGGTGAATGAATGTTCCGAAGGAGACAACATTCAACAGCAGTTTGATTCGTTAAACAGTTGTAATCATATAAATATAATGATAATAAAGAGAGTGATCTTTGTGGCTTGGAAAGAATGAAAGGCACACAAACAATAATTCATATAAAAGCAGAATCAAACGTAAGCCGAATCACTACTTTATGAGTATGGTTATTGGCTGGAGCTTTATTCAAATTTATGCCTCCCAACAATAAAGCAATCCAATTCCCAAAAAGCAAGTGATGCATCCTTGTACAAAATTACTTATTGTTCCAAGTTCAGCAATGATATGCTTATAATGAGTGGATTCTCTGCCATACAAATGGTGCTATACTATATGGGTGGTTATAGTAGAGCGCTCATATGTAAAGTAATTGCATGGGAATTATCAAAGTCGTTCACTGTGATACAACACAAGATGATCTCATACTTCTTACTTATAAAAAGGCTATTTGGACAATTAGCTCGAATGAGGAGAATTTTGATCTGTATTGCTATAAAAGTCGTTAGTGATAATGATTTCTCGTTAATTTATACACAATTATTAATAGGCCTTTTAACCAAATTGTTCCGAACTTAGACCTTTCCAAGTTCACGTGTGGCCTTAGACAGGTTAAACTCTCTTGAACGGCTAAGTCAGCCTATCGAACATAACAAAATGTATAAATATATAAATATATATATATTAAACATAATAACAAATTTACCCCTAATTCTTGATTTTTTTATTTATGAGTTTGGGATACTTATATCATTTCATTTTAAAAGTATTGTGTATTTATACCATGTCTTGATGGATGAAAAGATGGAAGAAATGATCGGTGGAAGAAATGGAAGAAACTTCCCTTATTTGTTTGGAAGAAAGCAAAAAGACATAGGAAGTAACAGGATGAAACATTCCTCTTAACTAATGCCTTCGAAAGGTTTTTATCCCCTCAAAATTGGACGGAAAGAGAGGAGGGAGAGAAAAAAAAATTGTACACTACAAATATGTAATAATAATTTTAAGAAAAAATAAATAAATAAAAAAAGAAGAAAGGTACACTTCAAATATGTAGTAATAACCTTTAATTCCTTACAAGTTAAGCCCTATTGAAATTTTCTCACATGTATAATAATGCTATATTGAAAAAATATATACAAAAACTCTTGTTCCCATCTTTTAAACCAAATATATATATATATATATATATATATATATATATATATATATATATATCTCTCTCACCCCCCTCAATCTTTTTTGCTATTCATTTCATGAAATCAAATAAAAAGTGAGGAAAACATTACTTCTTTAAAGATGCATCATTTATCCATCTCCTTTTCTCTTTCATCTATTTTTCGAATCCACGGAATGTTAGAACTAAAAGAGAAATGAGTGTTTTACTATTGTTACAAATTCTAATTATTCGGAAAATAAAAAATAAAATCATTCCAACAAGTTTGGGAAGTAAACTATTTTGAAATTTTCATCAGTGGATTCAGTGGTGGTAGTTGTTCTTCATCCCAATATAAAAGAATTTTTTTTAAAAAAGACGTAAATATTAGAATTTTTTCTCAATAATTTTTATAAAAGCAAAAACTTTCAAACGGCATAAAAGGAACCCTAAAGGCAGTGATGTCACTATCATTTTGAATTCTCGGACAGTTCCTTTTTCTTTTCTGGTATAATTAAAGAATACCAAAACAACCCAATTAGTTACTACAAACTGTTGACGGTAAGTTTACCCAATCAAATGGTAACACGACCACTAAGCAGCATACTGGAAAAATCATCACTAATGCTTGGAACCCACTATACCACTTTGTTATATATAAGTATATATAAATAATTATGACCAATAATAAATAAGTATATATAATAATTATGACCAATAAACCATAAATGCATAAAGCTTTTTTAAAGATGCTCACAGCGAACTAAAGTGGATGAGCATTGCATAATCAAGTATATATATGTGAGAGGCCAATTAATCATAGAAAGCCAAGTGGGTATAGCTACCAATAAGCCATTAAATGTAAAACAATGAGAAAAGATGCTTTTTACCACTAAAATCACTGGTGAATGTAGAAATATTTCAGATTTCAAAACCAGAAAATCCCATTCTCAGATTTTCTATTAATTTCGCATCTTTCAAATTTAATGGCCCAGATTACGTCTGCACTCATTTATCACCCTATATAAGCCCCCTCATGCCCTCTTCCAAAACCAACCAATTCTGCATTTGGTTTCAATACATTAAGTTTCTCTCTCTCTCTCTCTCTCTCTCTCACACACACACACACTGTTTCTGTCTCTCTCCTCTCATATTTTTTTTTTTTGTTTTATTTTGTAAACATAAATGAATGTTGTGAAGGGGGTTATGGGAGCTCTCTGCCGCTCCAACCTGGAAAGAAATGAAGGTATTCCGCGGCTGCTAGTTCATGAATACCCCTGGGACTGGGTGCACAACGGCGAAAGCGCGCAGGCTAAGGGTGAGCATGAACTGGGAGACGAGGTTACTTTCGTCTTTCTGGCTCTGGGGTGAAGGGAGCTCCTAGGCTCCCCTCAAACATGCACGCCTTGATGTTTTGTCTATATATATAGTTATATGCACATATGCACATATATATATATATATATATAAGTACAGTTATGGCAGATAAGCTGTTTGTAGTTACTGATCTAATTAAATAATCATGCCTTTTATTTTGTTTTATTTTTTTGTAATGTACACATAGCATCTAGGATATATATGATTCATCTCCAATAGGGTGGTCCAACAAGCATTAGAATTTGAATGCGTCATCAGCACTAGCAAACAATCATGACTTACTATTTGATGAATTAAAAATGTTTATTGGCATGGTTAAAATAAGAAATTATCATTTCTTTCTATTATAGTATTCTTAATTTAATAATCGATGGTGGATGGTCTATCTTTATCTATGTAATTTGGAGTATTAACTTTTAAATTTGAGTCCCGTAAACAAAAAAGAAGGGGAAGGAAGGATGAGATTTGTATTCTTTCTTTGTATCCATTAGGCATCATGTCTCCTTATTGCAATATATATGCCAAGCAGTATATATTAATAATCTATAGGCCGAATTGGGAAAGGGTATCAATTGTTGAACATGTTGGTTTTAGCAGCTACATTCTCTGTTTCTTTATTAATTTTTTTGCTACTTTTTCAAGGTAACTCAATTCAAAGAAAAACACTACGACTACTTTACTGGTTTTGTGTTTTTGTAGTTCATTTTTTGGACTTCTATCCTGTACAGGAAAGACGGGACCTTCTAGTGAGTGTTCGCGAAGTATGAGTTGGGCGCTTTAACCATTCAGCCATGGATGCTTATTGGGATCTTCGCAATGCAAATATGCTTTACAAGGTGCAATCAGATGCAAGATTTCATGTCCAGCCTCAAATTATGTGTATATGAGACCGTTTATATGTTGTATATGAGAGATATGCGGTACAATGTAAATCAGAATTATGTACAATCTGTAATGATAAAGGCTGAATTTGTAATTTTTGGAAAGTAGCAACTGTACAATAAAATTACAATTTTTGTTCCATTAATGAATTGGATTTCAAATTAGCATAATTTTCAAAATCATTAACACATTAATATTTTGATATATATTTCATTAAGCTTCCTTCAGGTTTTTTCCCAATTGTATACTGGGGTTGGACTTTATTATTATTGATTGTCTATAACTTATAATGAAACTGATAAAATGGGAGACCATATTCTCAGTTTCATTTTTCAAGATTGCACTCTAATTTTTTTTTTTTTTCAAGTTTATAACGAAAAGGGTAATTACGGTATTATAAATAAATGATAATATATTAATCAGTCGAGGACTTTTTTGTTATTATTATTATTTTTTTCATTTTTTCATTTTTTATTTAAAAGAAGAAGAACAGTGCAACTATCGTTTCCCTAAAACAAGTCAAATCTCATCATAAAATATAAGGTAAATTTTATTTAGGTAAGTGTGACCTATCGAACCCTACTGAAAAAACAGGTAAGTTGTTTATACCTTGTTTAATTTTGAAGATATTTACCATTTTTGTTGAAATCCACTAAAGCTCGTATTATTCCTTCAATCTTGCTAATTTCCAAGACTAAGTTATAATATAATATAATCGTTATAGGATTGAATTTAGGTC